ATATATATATATATGTATTTTTTTTCTACTATGGAAGTCAATGGCAACCACCAACTGTTTGATTACCAGCAATCTTCAAAATATCTTCTATGTTCAACATAAGAAAGCAACTCATACAGGTTTGGAACGACATGAGGGTGAGTAAATGATGACAAATTTTCATTTTTGGGTGAACTATCCCTTTAAAGGGTACAAAAATGTACTCATTAAGCACAGCCGGACTTTTTGCATTTAATGATGCATATCTTAATTTAAATGCTTTTCTCATTTAAAATAAAATTAAATATTTTTGTGTGAGAGATTATCTTATTTTAACATAACTTTTTATACTGAAACCAATATTTTGTGCACTAAAAATGTCTCAATGTAGATTTTGGTGAGCTTAATAGGTACGTTTACCCTATATAAACGACTTGGCTAATGGTTTAAAAAAAATGGTACTACAGTAAAATGTCCAAAATTTGGATTTCGTTAGACTATTACCTCTGGTGCTTAGCTTTAACGCATCCAGGAAAGGGAGCTTCCGTTGTGTTGTGCTAATTTCGTTGTGTTGCGGCTTGTTTCCGTTATGTTGTGGCGATTTCGTTGCATTGTGCACTAATGGTCCACCATAAGAAGTTCCTACATGAAATAGATTTTTTTTTAAATAGATTTATGTTTTCAAAATTATTCATTTCCAATGATTTATGATTTTTATTGAATACTGTTTAAAATATACACACAATTTAATTGCAGCAACTGTTAAAAAAACTTGAAGCAACGTTTACATAAAGCAGAAACACTATTATTAATATAATTTATTAGATATTTATAGCATTATTTATAGCAGTATTTCACGTTTCAAATAAGAGTGTTTAAAAGCACAATTATGCAGGATGTGATCACTGAACATGATGAAATTTCACTGGTAAACTGGCAAGAACTACGACTATTAACATATATCTACAGTGTGTCATGATGAGTGTGAGAACAACATAAGAAACTGTCAGACTCCAATCCGAGCATAACACACACACACACACACAGACAGACACAGACACACACACACTCACACAGAGAGAGAGATGAACACTCGTGCTCAGCAGGACAGTCTGACTGTCACTCATAAGTAACACACCTTCATCATCCTCATCACCACAGATATCACAGTGTAAATCAGATGACGACAGCAGGCTGTCCTGATGGAAACACTCATACTAACGCACGCAGTTTCGTGTAGCATCATTTATAGGTGCTGTACTGAGTGTGAAACTGTCCCATATAAACATAAATCTCCATCAGCTGAGTGGGTGTCGCTGCTCTTCCTGTCAGATAAAGCCCATCAGAACGACACTACAGTAATACACAGCGCTCACATTAACACGGCTAACGGACGGATTTCGTCCTGTTTCAGATATTTCGCGCGTTCTGTTATTTTTGTGGTGATTTGGAGCTGCTAGCGTGAGCGGCTAACGGCTGATTCGCGGCTCCGAATTGAATTTAACGCTGAACGGACGAGCTCTGTGGAATGACGCGCGTGAGAGTGGAGTGTGAACGCGCGGCGTGTGTGTTTGTCATGCATGTTCTCACCTGTAGTCGTGTGTGTTTGCTGTAAATCAGTGTGTTCAGGTGGTGATTATCCGGATCCTGGTCAAGATGGCGGCGGCACAAAGACTGACGCAGTTCCGCGGCTCACCGGCGGGCGGCGCCAGAGAACGCGCGCTTCACTGCACTCGGCGTGACCCGCAGCGGGCGCGCGCGCGTACACAGAAGC